CCGCCCCCTCCCCCGCCCCTGATTGGCTGTTGCAGTTGTCCATCCGGAATCTATTTTTGATGGGGGGGTGCCACCCAATCTGCCCCAGATCACGTTTGCCACCCGCAGCCAACCAGTCGGGCGCAAGTCTGCGAGCAGGAGGCGATTGGGGGCGAGGGAGCTCGGTCCCTTGGTCTCGCGTCCGGATCGCCCCCGCCCGGCCCGAGGCGGTATATCCTGCCCTCCCGGGCCACCTCCCCCTCGTGGAAGCCAAGCGGCGGCCTCGCTGTAACGCAGAAGCGAAATGTAGCCAGCCGGGTGTCGCGGCTGGACGCTCGCCTTGGTTGGGGGTGTGGGGGGGGCACGCCGGGGGCCGAGGAGGACGGCCGAGGAGGAGTGATGAGAAGAGGGGGTACCCTGCACCCCCCGAGACCACGGGCCCCTGCCACCCGCCAGGCGCCCCCCTTCCTCCCAAGCGAGGGGCAGGTCAGTCCTGTTGGGTCAGGGTGTGGGGGGACAAGGGCCAGGGGGCAGCAGCCTTGGCGCACAGAGCATTTGCCGAGTGTGGGTCGTGGAGAGACTCGGGAGGCCACCCGATCACTTCTCCCCCTCTTCAAGGTTGGGGATACTAAAACGGGTCGTTTTTGTTCCTGCCTGGGAGGAGGTAAGGACGTCCTGGTTCACTTTTGTGTCTTTGATCGAAGAGCCTTAGGCCCATCCAAAGTCTTTCCCAGGCAGTGGGTGAGGTACTGGCTCCCCTTCCTGCGAGCACCCTTTCGGGTTAAGTGGCCTTTGGGGGGAGGGGTGTCAGGTTTTAGCGGACTGAGAAACTTTTCTGGCCTGGGGCAGTGGACTCTCCCCTGTTCAGAGGTTTCCTACTGGATCTCGAGTAGGGATCTTGGAAGGAACCACGTTACTGTGTTCAAGGAGATGGGAAAAGGGAGTCCTGGTGTGTGCCTGGGCAGATGGAAAGTGGAAACAAGTCCCAGGGGCCAGTTACTGGGTTTGATCCAGCTTTTCCCAAACGCAGTTGACTAATCATGTGTTTGGAATACTTAAGGACCTGGTCATCCTACCTGGGGAAACTCAGCTTAAATTTACTTTTCACTTGTAATAGCTATTCTGGTGAATGGTGTGGGGTGGGATGGAGGCCTGGGGGCTCCTTTCAGTAAGCAAAAGTTCAACTTTAGGGCTAGAGACGCTCATTTGGGAGCAAGTGCATATTGGCTTATGGTGCTTCGGTTTTGTTTTACTATGTTTTGTTTTTTCAATTGCTACTTTTGTTTTTAAAAATTCTCCTCTAATATGTCCATCTGCCAGTCACCCTGGGGGGCAGGGGGAGCCTAGGGGACTGAAACCTGTGGGTAATGACCGGTAGTTTTACCAACTCTGTCCCTTCAAAGGGAGGTAACTCTTCGTCCTAGCTGACAGGATCTCGCCACCAGGAGCAGTGGGGAGAGGAGTAGAGACAGGGGCCTGGATCGGAGTCAGCGTCTGCGCTTTTTCTAACACTGTTGACTCTCAAGGGCAGGAGTGGGTAGGCCTCTGGCTCTTGGCCTTGGTCTGGCAGGCTTGCCCCACTGCCCAGTGAGTCCTAGGTTTTGTTCGTTTTTGGTTTTTTTCTTCCCAAGGAGCTAAGGCATATGGGGGTCTGAGGACCTTAACTCAGTGATCAGATTCTCCGGTTCTTCATCCTGTGCAGCTTGTCTTGCCATTGTGTCTTATGACCATGAACACTCATCTTCTGCAGCGAGTGGCCAAGTGGCAGGGAGTTTGTGACTGGATTTGTAACTGACCCCACTTAGGGACTGCACTTAAATAATCCTGAGTTCACAATGGGCATTCCTAAAGGGGTCTCCCCAAAGACGTCCCTGCCCACCCCAGTGACTCTTGCACAACATCCCCACCACCCTCGCCCCCTAACCCCACCCCAGGCTGTAGGCCACAGTGGTGATCCCAGCAGAGCAGTGAGGTGTCTGTTGGGAGGGTGGTAGGGATGGTTTCTGCCAGGCCTCTGAATGTCACAGGGTAGGGTTAATCATTTCAGTGGTGAGAGGGTGGCAAATAGCAAACCCTTTAACTGTTGACCTATAACAAACCCATCTAACTGCCTCAGGGAAGCATGCTCCCAGAATGTCTGTCCTGAGCTGCATCCTAACTTTCTCTTTCTTTACTGTCTTCTTCCCACATAAGGTATTCCTCCCAAGTTCTCGTGATTTTAAGGACCAGGGATTTGGGGCAGTACAAGGTCTTCCCAAGAAGGGAAGAAGTCTCTGGAAAAGAGTGGAAACACGACAGACCCTGCCCTGGGACCAGCAGAGCCTGGGGAGCTGGGGGAGGCAGACGGAGGCCTGCAAGAGGAGTGAGAAGGAGCCCCAGCCCCGGGCTGAGGCTGTGTTCTGAAGGATCCAAAGTCAAGCTACGGTTCACAAAAGAGGGGCCACCTCCAAGGGCGCCCTAGACTCTGATTGGACCCTTCTACTCTGGATACCCCTTCTCTGACGAGCTTGCTGCTGAGAACCAAAGAAGATAAGAGGCCAGATTCCCCTAAAGCAGAGTTGGCCGGCTGGAGTCAGGCGTCCGCACCCCTAGTGGCTGGCTGCTGAGTCTGGTGAGAAGATTCTCGTTTCCCTCCTGCCTGTGGCCTCAGTGCTTGATGGGGCTGCCTGTTGGTAGGTCAGCTTTTGCAGTGCCTGGTAGGAGTGGAGCGCCGTGGGAAGAGGTCCTGCGGCACCCAAGCCTGGGCTTACCCCAAGACTAAGTGCTTTCCCAAGTTAGAGTGAGAGAGAGAGAGAGAGAGAAAACAAGAGGAGCGTTCTCCATTCGCCTCCCCCTGCCCGTCATGTCCTCTAAGCCGGAGCCGAAGGACGTCCACCAGCTGAACGGGACTGGCCCTACTAACTCTCCCTGCTCATCAGATGGGCCTGGGCGAGAGCCCCTGGCTGGGACCTCAGAGTTCCTCGGGCCTGATGGGGCTGGGGTAGAGGTGGTGGTGATCGAGTCTCGGGCCAACGCCAAGGGGGTTCGGGAGGAGGACGCCCTGCTGGAGAACGGGAGCCAGAGCAACGAAAGCGACGACGTCAGCACTGATCGTGGCCCTGCACCCCCCTCCCCGCTCAAGGAGACCTCCTTTTCCATCGGCCTGCAAGTGCTATTCCCCTTCCTCCTGGCAGGCTTCGGGACTGTGGCTGCTGGCATGGTGCTGGACATCGTGCAGGTAGGACCTGAGTAGGGTGGTGCTCGACCACGAGCTGGGGACACCTTTGCCTCCTGGGAAACTGTGACTCTTGGAACTTCCTCTCCATCTCTGGTCAGAAGCAGCTGCTGCTTCCTAGAATACTGTTTCCCTTTGGATCGCATCCTCCATTTCGTCTTGGTCCAGTTACTTTCTTCAGAAACCTTGAGGAAGCTGAGTAGCCCGGGGAGGTGGTCAGGGCAGTATTGCTTCATAGAAAGAGGATGGGATCCAGAACTCAGGCTCGGAAGGGGAGAGGTGGAACGAGGTGTTGATTGCTGTCCCTCCTAAGCTTTCCTTTTCTTGGTGGGAAACATTTAGACCGGGCTCCTCTTCATAACTTCTTTTCTCTTCAGGTTGGCGTTTCAAGGATACCCATCTAGAAAGCTCTGTTTCAAGCCTCTCCTCCATCTCCCTGCTGGGCAGGAATTTGTTCAGCTGCCAGGAGGGTCTCAGATGAAGTGGGAAGGTTCTTGAAAGCATTTTGTGTTGCTTATCTTCCTGTAATCTTGGCACAGTCTCCTTGGGGAATGGGGGTGGGCACATCCTGTCTAATATGTGATTGGGGGAGTTGGCGTGATTGGGGGAGTTGGCAGAACAAAACCTAAAAGTGCTAATTATGTGCCATAAGTGGGGACCAGGAGGGTCTCAGATGAAGTGGGAAGGTTCTTGAAAGCATTTTGTGTTGCTTATCTTCCTGTAATCTTGGCACAGTCTCCTTTCTTGGCACAGTCTCCTTGGGGAATGGGGGTGGGCACATCCTGTCTAATATGTGATTGGGGGAGTTGGCGTGATTGGGGGAGTTGGCAGAACAAAACCTAAAAGTGCTAATTATGTGCCATAAGTGGGGACAAAATGTAACCAGGCCTAGGCAGAACTGTCTCTCCTTTATGTTCCTTACCTGTGCCCTGACAAAAGGGCTCTTTCTGAGGCTGCCAGAACGAATGGCGGATAAGAGTTGCCAGGACCTGGGAGTAAAGAACCAGGGGTGTGCTGTTACCTTGTTGTGAGTTAGGATTCGCCTGGAACCTGCAGGTCTGAGAAGGAAAGTCTCGTTTCTAGGTAAAAGTTTTTGAAGGGCAGAACACATTTAGAACTTTCTGAAGTTGCTGGGTTTATCTAAGCTAATCAGCACTGTGTATCAAATTTCTGCTGAGGGCTGGGCTCTGTCCCAGGTACTGGGAGAAATACAGAGGCAGGAGGAGATCTGGCCCTTGACCTTTGGGACTTCCCAGTGCTTCCTATGACATCTGCCAGGGGGACATAGAGCACAGCAGCACCTCCCCTGGGCCAGCCAACCCTACAAACATGCATATAGTCACATAGAGGTCTACCAGTGGGTCTCACGGTGCCCTGGTCCCAGGAGACTGAAGGCAGTTGGTTCTAGGTGTTCCTTCAATGGCATCCACATGGACCACTTTGACTTGAACTTTAAAAGGTCAGGAGAACCCTGCACCTTCCATCGCTAAGGAGGATGGAGTTTATCTCATGCCAGTGTGCCTTGTTACTTTGAGTACTGCTTCTATTGCTGTACCATCGGGACAGTCATGACGTATCTTTCTGTTTTTCTATGCAAAATGTTTCATGACTTTCCTGACAACCCAATACATGGAGTTTAAAAAGCCAGCCTTTGCATTTCTCCCCCCTAGTGGTTGCCTGTCCTCCTGGGGCAGTGAGTGAGGGTAGGAAGAGGAGGAGAAGTAAGCCTGGGGTGTGTGGGGGCGGGGCAGTTTATCCACTTCTTCCATCCCTTTCTTGTGGCCTCGGTTTTCATTTTTTGAATTCTTGAACTGTGGCTTGGTGCCTATAAAGAGGTATAGAACCACGGTCCAATGGCAAACTGGGAAAGGGTTGTCTTATTTTCTGAATAATAGTGATGATACATAATAGTAGGAGGAGGAGGAACCGTAATCATCTCCATTTGTAGTTGGGAAACCTATGGCTTAGAGAGATTAGGTAAGTAACGTGTCTCTGGTCATCTGAGCCCACCAAGCTCTGTGGCCTTTACCATGTGATGGTTTGCTACCTGCATAGACTCTGGGAGGAGCCTGCTCTTTGCCCTTCCCTGGAGAACAGAGTAGACTAGAATCTGGAGCAGTTAGAGTCATCTTCTGACATGAGTGAGAACAAAAGTCCTTAGGTGAGGTGGGAAGAATTCTGGAGCTAGACAATCCCTCCCTCAACCCATACCCATGGGCCCTAGGCATTGAGAGGCCTAACAAGGGGACTGTTGGAACTGCCTGATGAGTCAACACCGGGTTGGCATTTGCCTTATGTGTGGCACCTAGGCTCACCCCAGAGCTAGGGTCCAGTTGGAGTGGATGACAATAGCTGGTTTGTCCTTGCATCCCTCCTGCAGCCTCCATGCATAGCTTGGCTGGAGCAGGCCCTGCTGATGGCTACAGTAAGATCCCAAGAGGGAGTGAATGCAGAAGGCCCAGGAGATGGGACCACAGGGAAGTTCTTATTTCACATCCAGGGGGAGTGAAAGAGGTGATTGATGATTGCAGATTCTGGAAGAACAGGATGATTTCTAAGGATTCACACTTACATTTCCATTTGCTAGCTAAGACGGCCTTCAATGAGACAGAGTCTAGAAGCGCCTAAGACACTGGAGCCTTCTGGGAGAGTTGGCTGTAGTGTCTCCAGTGTCTCAAAGCAACTGAGAAAAGTCTGTGTTGGCCCTAGTTCAGGTGTCTCGTTGGTTCTGGGCTATCTCTCTTTCTTGCTGCTGTAGAAGACCCAGTCTCTTTCCAGAAGACCCACCTGTGCCTCTTCTTATCTCCCTTGCCCTCCACTCATGCCCAGCAGCCTCTGCAGTTAAAGAGAGGGATGGTGCACTAGCCCAGAGTAGAAAAAAAGATAAGTGAACAGCAATTTGCTGCACCTTCCCCACTGTGGCAGAACGTCCCAGCACCATTTGGGAGGAAGGCAGACTTGGACCTGGTGTAGGCTTCTGAAGGGGGCTGGGATTTGGGAATCTCCCACTGCAGATCCTTCATGTCCTGAGGCGCTCCCTCCTGCCAGCCTTTGTGAGCCGATAGGGGCAGTAGGAGGTGGTGTGTGACTTGCACTGCCATTCTCAGGTAGGTTAAGACAGTGGGGCTCCCAGATTCTTTTTTGTTTTGGTATTTATTTACTTCATAAATAGAGACATAGAGAAAGCACCCCAACCGGGTCTTATTGCTGCAATCCATCCTCAGTCAGCCCCCGATCATAGATACACATGTGCCTGGTGTACCCAGGGAGGTATCCGGACGTGAACCAAGAACCCGCCTCACAGAGCTGTGCTCATTACTACTGTGCTGTGTCCTTATTTCAACTCACGACTCCCTTGCGAGGATCCTGAGTAGAGTAGGCACCCTTCCCCCAAATACATCCTCCTGGCCTCTCTGCCCTGCTGTGTGGAGAAAGCGTCTACCAAGATGAAAGTGAGTGGCAGGCGTGACCTAGAGCTAGTGGAACAGGAAGGAAGCTTTCCTCTCGGGGCCACTGGGACCCCTGGCAGCCAGCATTCCTGGACATAGAGAACACTCGGATTGGATCTCGCTTGACCACCCCTTCTTCTTTTCCCAGCTCTGGCCCCTCCTTGCTAGAGCCCTGTATACCCAGGTGTTGCTGTGTTGCTTGTCCTCAGAAGCCTAGAGGATGCCTCCAGGGACAAGCCTCAGACAGGTGAAGGGTGGAGTTCCTGTAGTCCGATCTGACCCAGCCCTCCCTTGGAAAAGTCAACTTCAGCCCATTTTTTCCTGGTTATCTCAGTTAACCCACAGCCTGGGGCCCAGAGTTTATACCTGGGAACTGTCTTTATGTCTTGACTCCACTTTTCCTTGCTCTGGCTTTCATCCTCACTGCTACCTTTCTGGCATAGAGGGGGACAGGCTAAAACACTTGAGCAGGTGGGGGAGGACAGTGTGTAAAGTCAAAGGAAGTAAGGGGTGGAGGGCAGGTTAGAAGAGTGAAGAAAGAGGGACTGACAGAATCCCTGAACTGCTCTGCATCAGGGTGTGTTCTGAGTGTCCTAGACGATCAGAAGCCAATGCATCCCCTCCCAAGGATAGAGAAGGAAGGGGAAGTGGGGCTGCATTTCTGAGAAGCAGTGAGAAACTCTAGGTGTTCTCCCTACTCAGCCCCCAAGCGGGGCAGCTTTCCCATCCCAGCAGAGCAGGAAGGTGTGGGTGGCAGCTTGGCTGCCTGCTCGGCAGGCTGATTTGACTCTAGGGGCAGACACTCCCAGCCAGGACGAACAGGAAAGGCCTGAATTAGGCCAGAGGAGGAAGAAGTGCTGCTCACCGTCTGCCCTGCCATGCCCTGCCCACTCTTAACCTCAGGCCTCCGTGCTTCCTGGACTGCTTCCATATCACCAGCCTCCCAGCATCTCTTCCCCGAGTGCTGCATGTCAGAGGCTCCCCGGTCTGAGCTGCATCTTTGGGAAGGTTTTGTGGGTGAAGAAAGTATGTGTGTAGGAATTGACACTCTGACCCAGGTGCCAATCAGGGCTTTGCTGGGCTAGAGGTCAGGTCTGTGAGGTTCTAGACTGTGCTCTGCCAGGGCTGCATAGGGGCTGTTGTGGCTGCTTGTTCCTGCCTGTCTCTCTCTCATCCCATTGCTTCCCAAACCCCATGGCCTTGTAGGTTTTTCTGTGGTTAAAAGGAGAGAGTGTGTACTGGGAGGCAGAGAGATTTGGAGGTGCTCATAGTAACAGCCAGAGGCTTGTGCCCTTTTGTCTGAGATAGTAATAAAGGTTAGTGATATTCCTTACAATTCAGAAAATAGTACATGCATGCACTGGGCGTATTCCTTCTAGATTTTTCACTCTGCCAATACACACACATTACATACCTGGAAAACTAAGCCTGGCATGGGGCTGGCAGCTTGGAAGTGGGAGGGGCAGATATTTAGTGGTGAGGATGGGATATGAGGCCAAAGCCATGCTCAGAGAGGAGCTCTGAAAGTCCCCAGTCAGGGAGAGGGAGAGGAGGGGCGTTCTTCCCCTCTCTGGAGCTGCTTGTTCGGTTTGGAGGAAGGAGGAGTGAAGGAGAACGAGGTTTGGCCCGCAGGGAGCTGGAACCCCAGTGGTATGCACCAGCCATGTCCAAGAGTAACAGTCCCGAGTTCCTCCAGGGTAGATGGGGCTCACTGGGGCTGCCTTCCCTCCGGGGGCTCTGGGCCATGCGAAGGGACTCACACCCCGCTAGCATTTGGAAGGGACTGGCTCTTTCCGCAGCTGCCTGAAAGTTCAATAGCTGTTGTGGAGGTGGTAAGGCGAGGGGAGTTTCTCCCCCTCTTTAGTTCTCAGAGAGGGGCTTCCCTGAGGAGAATCCTGGGTCCTTCAGGAGACCCTAAGAAGAGACCTAGTTCTGGCAAGGCGAGAGCTGACAACTGTGTACTCCAGCACTAATGGAATGACCCCTTCTCTGGAGTCCTGTTAGCTTCTCCACCACCCCTATACACACAAAGAACGCCGACCAGCAAAGAGAGGCCCTTGCCTTGCACGCCTGCTGCTCCAGTGTCAGCCTCGTCTGGTCTCTAGCCCTGGCTCTAGCTCCCTGTGATAGCCTTGCTCAGCGTTTTTTTTTTTTAATTGTTTTTAAAAGACACACATAAGAAAATTTACCATCTTAACCATTTTTACATGGCCACTGAGTAGTGTCAAGTATATCCACGTTGTCATACAACAGTTCTCCAGAACCTTTCCGCCTTCCACAGCTGAAACTCTGTACCCTTTAAACACTTCCTTCCCCGCTCCCCGCTCCGAGTAACCACTGTTCTATTTCTATGAATTTGCCTACTTTAGTCACCCTACATAAGCAGAATCACACAGCATTTGTCATTTTGTGACAGGCTTAAATAGTAGAATGTCCTCAAGGTTCATTTGTGTCATAGCCTGTGACAGGATTTCCTTCCTTGTTAAGGCTGAGCGACAGTCCCGTCAGTGTATCTGCCATGTTTTGTTTATCCACTCATCAGTGGATGGACATTTGGATTGCTCGCCGCTCTTGGCTGCCACGCCATGTGGGCATGGGTGTACAGATATGTCCGTAAGACCTTGGTTTCGATTCATTTGGGGAAATACTCAGAAGTGGGATTGCTGGGCCCGAGAGTAGTTCTACTTTTGATTGTTTGAGTAACTGCCATACCGTTTTTCATAGCAGGTGCACCATGTACAATGTACAAGGGTTCCCACCATCACATCCTTGCCAACACTTAGTATTTTCCGGGACTTTTTTTATAATAGCCATCCTAATGGGCGTGCCAGCCTCACAGTGGCTTTGATTGGCAACCTTGCTCATTTTTAGCAAGAGAGTGTTGGCCCTAGAATTGCCTTTAGAGACTGTCTGATCTGTCCCCTGACTTGAATATTTTATGGTGAAGAGCTTGCAGCCCTTGGAACTTGTCTAAGGGCCCCAGCTGGTCTATGAGAAGAGGCGTGTTGAGGAGATAGCAAGAGGCCCCTCCCTGTGGTCTCCTATAGGAGGCCCAAGACACTTCATCCAGTGTCCTTCCCATGCCGGCTCGTTGCCTCCCATCCATGATACTCAGACCCACCAATGTATAACCCCTGCCCAGCTACCTGCTCCTTCCTCCCTCTCCAAACTTGGAGACTTTCTATTTCTAAAAAATACAGAAGCAAATAAAGGAAACCACGTCGCCTATCAGGGCCAAGAAGGGAGTTGGAATCCCAGCCTTTTTTGCAAGTCCTCTGTTTCCCCTGCAACTCGAGGAACTTTCAGATAACTGGTCCTATCTCCTACATTTTGCCCACTTAGCACTAACTAGTGTGTAATCCTCTCTGGACCTCAGTGTCCTCATTTAAAATATGGGGATAGGGCCAGCCATGGCTTGATAGTTGAGGAGGCTGGATCTTGCATGGCTGACCACACAGTTCCAGTCCCGGACCTGGCAGCTTGAAAAACACACCAAGTGTGAATGTGTGCATGCCCAAAATCCCAAAAGGAGGGAGAGATGGAGAAGGGATTGCAACATGACCATGCCCCACGTCCCTCTCTCTTCCTATCTTTCTCTCTCGCTCCCTCGCTCTCTCTCTCTCTCTCTCTCTGTCTCTCTTCAATGAGCGCACATGCTATATGGCAAAAAAACTTTTCAAAAGGCATAAAAATATCCCCTACCTCCTTGAGTTGTTGAGATGATTAAACGAGAAAATACATGTAGAGTACTTAGCCTAGCACAGTCAAAACGTCATGACTGTTGACTGAAGAAATTGGCAGGGCAGCCAGGACATGTGTCTCAGGGCTGGAATCATGGCTCCTGACCTCTGGCATGGGCCTTTTTCACAGGTGTGCATTCTCTACTCCTCACTGACACATTGGGGAGGGTATGCAGGCGGGGAATAAAAAGCCTCTTGTATAGACCAGTGTTCTAAGCTGGGGGAGCCCAGTCTGAATTCAGAGCCTGTTCAGAGGAGACGTGCCGTGGCCAAAGCCCAGAGCCCTTGAAGATAGAAACCAAACAAACTGTCTAATCTCCTCAGCTCCAGCCCCGTGGAGCCCGACTCTCCACAGCTGAGACAACACCACCCAAGGCTGAGGCCACAGAGAACCTGGACTAAAGGCAAAGACGTGAAGATGGCGATTTGAGAGGGATTCACAAAAGATTCTGGGGTGTAAGCCAGCCTGGGGTGTGCTCAGCTGGTGGGTCCCTACCACCCTCCCACCAGCTCCAGAAATGCAGGAGAAGAAGCAGAGCCAGCCAGGGGGCTCCTGACTGGCAGAGACACCCCCCGCCCCCCGCACCTCCCTGTTCTGGGTGGCATGAAGGGGGCTGCGTTGTTTGGAGAAGTGTGGACTTGGTTTGGTTCCAGGGTTCTTGGAGGAAAGGCAGCCAGCTCACTCACCTCCAGCTGATCCTGTTTCCTTCTCGAACCCCTGATCCCAGACTATCTGTTCCACTTCAATGCCAGCCCTTGGGACACTGAAATTCCTGGGTTGTGTTTCACCTTGTAGCACTGGGAGGTCTTCCAGAAGGTGACGGAGGTCTTCATTCTGGTGCCTGCGCTGCTGGGGCTCAAGGGGAACCTGGAGATGACCCTGGCGTCAAGGCTGTCCACCGCAGTGAGTGTCTTGGCCGGGAAGAGGGGGCTTGGAGAGGACTCTGGGTGGCCCAGAGCCAGACCAGAGATCACTGCAGGACCTTCTCCACTGCTCAGGCCTGGAGTGAAGCTGGGGTGGGAAGGGCAGGCCTGGCTGGGCAGGTGTAGGGAGATCCCAGGCTGGGTGTCCTGTTCCTGGGCAGGGGCTCCCTGCCCAAAGTGGTTCCCAGGCTCCATTTCTGGATGTCCCAGCCGCCTCTGGACTCCTGCCCCCCC